TGCATTACTGTGGTGCCTGACGAATCAGGCTGCGAGATTAGTGCGTTGAGGACCGTGATTCTTTAACTGAACGTGTGATAGAAGCGTGTGTATCCTTCCTCCTCTCATTCTATCTTTCTTTCTTTTGTTTCTCCGAATTAATTCCTTTACTCTTTCAGTCACTGCTATGGGAATATTTTCTACGTTTTGATATGCTAACTGTACGCCGAATTTTGATAAAGTTGTATGCGGAATGTTCTTAATTTATATAACGCCAATAGAGAGAAAGGCATAACTTCCACAATTAATTAAATGGTACATGAACATGAGACCATTATCCGATGAGACAGATAGTAAATGTTAAAATCAGATATGCCTTTCCTCTTACATACGAAATACATACGTATACACGTACATATGTATAGTAGGTAATGGGCTGACCGATGTGTAGCAACGGAGTTCGATATATGATTTAGAATTTGAAATGAAAACTACGAGTTCTATAACACTTTAGATTATAATTTTGAATTTCACTGCGCACGCGAAGAAGAATGTTCGAGATGCTCGATATTTTATCGGACCGGACGCCAGAGGTTTACATTCGGCAGTTCGGCGAAGTAAATATCTACCTCGCGTTACAATCAAGCGGTCTGAGCGTGGGACCACGTTGACTCCAAGGAAAAGAATGCGTTATACATATGTATATTGTACACGCTTGATTGCGTCGCCGATGAGAAAAACTATCTTTAAACATCAAAGATCGTACTGCGTTCGATTAGGAAGCTCCCACAATGTTATGCATTATCGTAACGCATCACAGCCGAAGTAAAAGAAACAAAAAAAAAACAGAATTCTGTTCGGAACGTAACAATACGAACAGAAGATTTCTCTCTGATCCTAGTACCTCTAAGTTTATTACTTAATGCTCAATATTTCCCTAAGCATTCGCAATCTATTTAGTATTTTCTATCCATAAAATTGTATAAAATTATTATGGAAATGTTTATATTACTCTATCATAAGACAATGTTTACAAGCAGGTAAAACTAATATCATAAAAATACACAATATAAGAAGGTATAGAAACCAGACAAATTAGTAATAAAGGAACGTTTCCTTAATAAAACATTAACACATTCGCAGTCGGCGATTTTGAGGCGAGACACTTGTTAGCTGAATACCGCGTGCAATTTTTAAAAGTCTATAGCTGAATACCAGAGGGTTATGCTTTTTAAAAGTATAACGGATTATAATTCACGCTTTTAAAATATTGCACAGCTTTAGTTAGTTATTATATAAAGAGAATATCTGACCTAACAAAAATTTTAAATCAAAATAACGATCATCTTGCTAAAGAGAAACGGGTGATGAATGCTACAGATTTTCAAATGACGTAGAACTATATTACCGGTACTCAGGTAAAGATTTTTAAATGACTGTTCGGACTCATAAATCGCTGTACAACAAGCTATCGAGCCTTCAGCTTAGCTTAAACCTTATTAATTTTATTTACGTGCCGAAAATTCAAACGCCCGGATTATCCCATAAAAATCTTAAAAACGGTTCCGCTACACTCATAAAGTCACCGGAAAACACAGTCATAAACCTTCCTCACTACCGTACGCATCACCCACAGTTCATCCCTGTCCCCAAACCTTCTCACTTGCACCTTTCTTTTCCACCACCATACACCTCACTCTCAGGTCATCCTGTTCCTCAAACCGTCTCACTCTCACCTTTCCTTTCACCACCCTTCTTACTTTTCACTGTCAGTCATCCCTACTCTCCACCCCCTTAGTTACTTCCTTCAATATTTCCTAATAAGAACCAATGACGAAAAAACCAATCACACACCAGCTACACCCGCCTGCTTCCAAGACACACCCTCTACAAGACAACATCCTCCGTTTTAAGAGAAACGACCATCAGACTCTCACCAGCAAGCATAGACACCACACCTTGAGTTAAACGAGCCCTCTCATCATTAAGTTGAAGTGAGCGCAACGATCATTACGGTCTTGAGTTAATAAAATTTATTCAAGTCGTAAGTTAGTGTCGTACAATGACGTAGGACTACGTTGCCGATTACGAATGTGTTAAATTATAAATGCCATTATTCCATATAAATCATATTATTACTCGTATCAGTACGAAGATATTTTTAAAGCACATAATAGCGATGCCTTCTAAAAGATTATTCATCTTTCCGTTTTACAGAATCGATTCTTCACGATGAATAATCGCTGAACGTGACTGGTAACCAGAAATACCATCACGCAGAATGTCGGGAATATTAAAGGGAGTGGATGAACGCCCCATGGATCCGGGGCTAAAACTCGGCACCACTTGAATGCGAAAGAAAAAGGTCGGTGCAAAGAACCTTTAATTCTTTTGAGTGACCCGCATGAAATCCAGCGTCAGAATGTTTATGTCACGAACTGAATAAATCTTGTACGAGTTCCCTTCGAATTGTAGATTCGGAGATTCAATTTCATGTCACGTTTAAATAAATTGATTAATTAATCCAGCGAGAAACTTTTCATTAAATATTAACCACCGAGATTATATGTACATTTATAGATTAGCTTTACACCGTAGATTTATTAGACTTATCATACAATGTATGCATAAACAGAACATTTTTTTAAATATACAGAAAGAGTAAATAAATTATAAAAGAAGAGCAAAAAGAAAAAAATAAATTACCTAAGGTAGTATTAATCAAAGGAAGAAACTAGAAAAAGGAAAAGAATAAAAGTGGAAATCGATACCTGCACCGGACAGGTATTCATCATAACACGGTGACAGGTTACAATATTAGAGAATACCTTCCAATAGTAGTCTAAGACAGCACGAATATGCCCTAAGAAGTTTTTATAATAAACTGATAGCACTTATAAATGAAATATTTCCAATTTTATGTGAAATAATGCAATCGGATGTGAATCGATACGATCGACACTGATAGGAATATATTTATTGTCAAGTACAAATGAGCAGCTTGCGGGATGGGCAAACCTTGGCTCTCGATCCTGTTTCCTGCGACAATGACGACAATGACCATGATGGCGTACTTCACCGTAACAACGGCTACTCCAACCTCGGTGTCGTCTATCTCCACGACAGCCAACAACGATGTTCTCAACACGAAAAAGGTAAACATACCTCCAATTCGCTATTTATGAGCTCCTTCGAGCAAACTTGCATTTCCATTGAAACTCAATGACCGTTCACGGTTTATTCTTAGAATACAACTGAAGGTATTAACGATTCTTTTCACAAATAACTTGACATTATCCGTGAATATTTTGTATTAAAAAATAATACTATCAGAAAAGACAATTTCAAGTGTCATGGTGTCTAAATTGGAAGATATTAAACAACTTCAATATAAGAACTTCTTCCTCAGAATAGAATGAAACACTAAACTTTATTTATAAAAAAAAAATCAAATTCTTGGACACATTTCTCCTCAATTTTCTTAAAATATTGTTGTGACCCCGCGAAATGATAACACAACGAATTTGTTAAATGCTGGTTTATTATAAGTACTTGTACTCTGTATAAAGCTGATCGAGTATTTCAGAGATGCTTATGGTTCGAAGTCAGAGTTAAGAGTGACGCTGTGGGAAAGTTGGGAGAGGTCCCTACTGTCCCTAGGCTTAGGACTCTTAGGAGGTATGGGAAAGCGAGGTCCTTGAGGACCGTGACTAAATCGGTTGTTTTTCCGTTCGACACGTAGGGACGAAAATCAAGAAGGGAAAGTTGCCCTAGCTTGCACTCTTGAAGTGCTCACAAAAATACATGTAACTAACGCACGTTTATGGGAAAATATTCGTTGGGTATTCAACAATATTGCCACCTTAAAATGGACTGTAATTTTCCTCAATTTTAAATAGTAGATACACATATCGTTATGCCAATAACACATACATCAAATGAAATTCTAGGAAATAAATTCGAGAGATGTTTCCAAAGTTCTGGGAACTGTGTTATAAATTGTTTACTTTATTCATTTTCGCCATGTTACATTGTAATGTTTCAATATAATTTCCGTTTAACAGTATGCACTTGTCGCAGCTTGAAGTTAGTTTTTTTAGACCATGTGAAAAAACTTTTTGGGAGTCTCCTCATTAAGTCATTTAAATCCTGAAATCGCCAACTTTGGCAACAGTTGGTAGTTGCTGGGTGTCTGATTACGCGAATAAGGTGGATTTGATGGTAATTTACAGAACAATTCCTTTAAAACTAATGTTTAAGAAATTAATGACAATAAAATAAGAAATAATTAAGAAAATAATGGCTATTTGATGATATTATAGCGTGTTTAATTATTTCACTACTTTCCTGCTTCTATAACATTAAAATTCCTAAAGTTTAACCTCAGTTTTTCCAGTTTAGGAACTAGTGGCAAAATAACAATTGAGAACTAGAACGACGATGCTATTCGGGTTACTACTTTAACATGTTCAAACGATCATAAGGTTACTACCTTAACATGTTCAAACGATCATTAATCTCGTATATTTGAAAACTACTAAAACGATGGGAAAAATGATCGTTTGAACGATGGAAATGTTCTGCTTTAAAGCTGAACATCGAGGAAGCTTTAGATGTAATAGAAGCGGCATCAACTGGATCACTGGGCGAATATTGCGCCACGACTGCTGGATTTAAGTCTTTGCCAGCTGCCGCTGCCCTCGATCCACGGCGTTACGACACCGCGCGTCAGAAAGCCGACATGACAGCTTTGATGCTCCAAAACTCTGGCACCATGGGGATATCAAGGCATAATGGTGAGTTGTACATATAAATATCAGCGCTTATTTCGAAACAATAACAGGTAAAATTTCATAAAAATTGGTTAACGTTGCTATGATATACAAACGATTAAAAATGTCGAAAATCACAGTTTTTCGCGACTCTCGACCTACAACTATAGTAAATCTAACAATTCTTACATCTTTTGATGCCTGTCGTTCGTTTCTGTATCAACCGATTTCAATCAAAGTTTCGTATGTATACATATAACTAACATAAATCTTCGATATGTATTTATTAAATTTTCGTTATAGCCTCAGATTAAAAACTTGTGAAAAGTTAAAAAAGATGTTCCGTTTTAAAGGGTGTACAAATACTTCGGTCCCCCACTGTATTTACAAGGTAAAATCTGGAATTCAATATACATATTTCCTATCAATTTTATTTAATTGTTTTTCAGTACATATAATGGAAGTCCTTAGAATTCTACACAATTATGGATTATACAAAAACAATGTCCGTTTACATTTCATACATATTTTGTAGATTATAAATTTTTGTAACGTTTCATTTGATAAATTCTTATTTCATTGTTCAGAACATGATACAGTAAAGCCTTCATATTTAAATACTTTACATCAGAATATCGCCTAATACAGCGTTCAATTATGCAAACAATAAATTTTTATATATAAAATATGTTTATCAATGAAACCTACGCCAAAGATGAGAAACTAAACAAAGGAGAAAAATATGTTTTGATAATAAACGTATAAATGACGTTTTTTTATTTTTAATAAAAATACGGGGTTAGAACGTTTCATAAAATTATAAAGTTCTTAAATAACAAGTTTCCTCTAAACAATTTCTTTTCTATCATATCTTCTGCCCTAGTAATAGAAAAAATTATAGTGCTTGACGAACTCGTCTCTCTTTATGCTAAAAGATGGGATAGAAACATTGTAATGTTCAGCTTAAAAAACAGAAAACGACCTTAAAAATTTGTGGAAAAAAATAAAATACAAAACAGTTATTACACTTAACTTGTACGCTCTTCGAAAACGATATGTTTGATTGTTTATTCTTAATTCATGCGTATATTGTATCGTAAGGTATACATAGTATTATCAAAATATTATACGCTACAGAGAAAGTTAGCGAATTTTATAATATTTTGACACGTTTTCTCTACCTTTTATATATCTTTGTGTATGCGATGTTACAAAGTACAAAATGTTAAAAAAATTTTCTTGGAGGAAAAACAATTTTCCAGAAGTGCAAATATGTCGACGATATTCAGAGAACCAACTTCCAACTCAAGAATAGATTAATTATCAATACCTTAATGATGTCATACACGTTTACAAGAAGAAGTAAAAATATTTAAATCTTTTGTAAAACATGAAAATACAGAAATCTTTTCGGTGTGCAACACGATTTTCCGTTTCCGTCGTCTCGTTGTCGGTCGAAAACTTGATCTGCAAAAATAACATAAACCGAGAGACTCGAGTCATTCAGAAAACTCGACGGAACAGTGGAGAGATGGAAAGGGGCACGACTGAAACTTATATTGCAATTTTCAGGGTGTTCCGGTAAAGTGTTCGATGCTAAGTTGGCACCTTTTCTGTGGAAAAAATCCACCCAGACCTCGCATATCTTGAACCATATCGCGGTTACCGTGCGCTAAACAATTTACATATCACGTTTCCTTAAAGCACCTGTTGCGCGCCAATCTGCATTTGAGTTCTAGTTTTATTAATTTATTCGAGTCACCGAGTCTTACCCGTTAATTCAAATAAATAGTAATTTTCAATCGACCACGATAAACCACGCTAAACGAAACGCGTACTGCGTTATACGGTATTGCGAAGTCACGCAGCAGCGTGAACCAATAAGTATCTGGACCCCAGAACCAGAGTGTATTAAATTCACTGTAAAAAAACACGACATTTTACATGTTTTCCATATCAAATGTTCCACCTTTTCCGATGGTAAAAATTATTTCGTTCTAAGTCGTTTAGTTTTTAATCTATTAGTATAAAAATGATATTAAGTCCATATTTTGTTCCAAACCAGATAGTGTAAAATCCATCACGTAGAGGGGACTTAATCCAATGCTCACCATTTTTACATATCGAGACTATCTTAAGTCTCTTGAATAGTTCGAAAGTAATAATTGTTTCTCGTTGAATTCTTACCGAACGGTACCAAAGTTACAAGATTTTTGTACTTTCGATTTGCTCTCCTCTAAACTTTGAAAAGTGTGACTTACTAGACTTTGGCTCTGGCGTTAAGATATAAATTCCCCATGATAAAAAAGAAAATTGATATAGGGTCTGTAAATTATTCACAATATTTTGTTGTTGATATTTATGCAGAGTCAGACTGTACAATGATAAGTACAATCGATTAGAATATTAGAAGATGGTTCGTTATGTTCAAAAAAATTGACAACTTGAAAAAAGAGAGAGTTGTACAAGGAACAATTTTTTCTATCGGCCGACTCTCGCATTAAAGGGGTGAAATCATTCCTCATGATTATATATATATATATATATATATATATATATTGTGTTTTTGACAATTTGTTAGCACCATATTATTGTACATAAAAAGCCATGACACTCGCCCATTAAAAGTTCCTTCCTATCTCTTACGGTTAACAAGACATACTGAAAAAACAAAAATTCGGCAAAACTTGAGGGGTCATTTCATCTCTTTAACGCGAGTGTCGGCCGATAAAAAAAATTGTTTCTTGCATAACTCGATGCCTTCTACAATTTTACAAACTTTCATGAAAATTGAAACCTAACCCAGACCTGCGGGTTGGGAAACCTTCCTTGTCATTCAGGGATAACTATTTCCCAAAGTCAGAAAATTACCATTTTCGACTTTGCAGCTCTTTTGCAGCCACATTTACGAAAGATGCCTTATTACGTAAAAATCAATTTAGATTAACAATTTGCAGAGTTGCAAAATTGAAAATGACCATTTTCTAACTTTGGACAAAATTACCTCAACTATGATTGTTAGCGTCAACATGTTTTAAGTGGAATCAAAGGCGGATGGCCTGTCGCTCATTAACCATGGGAGAATTTATGATGGAGTTTCTAGAATGCATGCGGTCTTGAAAGAGGGTGCATTAGATTAAACAGACCTGGATCTGCATGATGGCGGGAGACCACGTTCGGTTCTTCGGCTATCTATGACGGAGATGGTTTGTTTATGTGAAACAGATGAGTGAAAATTTAAAGATGGCAAGCAGCCCGATGTTACGTTGCCTTAAGAATAAAGACATTGTTTCTTAGGGATGCGGCTACGAAGTAGGGAAGGCAGCGATTCCTTTTGATAACAAGACTGTGATTGACCGCTTGGCACTTACCCCAGAACCTCGAAGGGGCGTAGTTATTTAAAAATTAAAGGCCTCGGACGACTAATATTTCTAACATGGTACTATTAAACAATCCAACATTTGGTGTGCAAGAATCTACTAGTGGTATCGAAAAAGATTTTAATGTTCGATTTTCTCTAGAATGCAACTTCATCTAAATTTATAGACAGTTTTCCGAGCTTTTCACTATTTTTTATACTATGAATTTTGTTTCTTATCTGAATACATCACTTTTTTGTTTCACTCGACCCTGCACAGAATCGTAAACGAACTGACTGGCTTGCTCGCCGCTGCATTACCACCATCTACAAGGTGTGTCTGAAAAGTTCGGTGAATGGTCTCAGAAAATAAAGGAAACAAGAGTTACAAACAAAATACCTTTACTGGCCTTCAAAGTAATCACCATTAGCTACAACATACTTCTGACATCGGTTGTAAAGCTGTTGGAAACTGTCAGTAAACGCTTCTTTTGGAATTGCTCGAAGCACCGTGGTCACGCGTTGTTGGATATCCGCAACGTCTGCGAAGCGTAAGCCTTTCAGGGCTAATTTAAGGCGGGGAAACAAAAAGAAGTCTGCTGGCGCCAAATCTGGAGAATAAGGAGGGTGTGGTCTCCGTCGCCGTTTTCCCTAATTTAAAGCAAAACTTCATGTTAACGCGTTGCTCCATTTTGCAATTACACGAGTTCTCACGTGACTCCGTTAGATTGGTCGCAGCGTGCACCACTGCTTCGCTTCGATGATTTGCACGATAGGGGGCACTTGTTGACATGTCTCTCAATGCGTATGCACGGGCGCCTCATCCTAACCAGCGCGGTTTTTAACATATGGGACCATTCACCGAACTTTTCAGACGCACCTTGTATGTTCATATTACTGACTATTCGTTTCTTCTACGATTCTCTGTCTCGCAAATCCGTTTTACTCGAAGGCCCTCGCGGGAAATGGCGAACGGTATTTCAAGGTAGCGGAACTCTCCTCTCCGGTGTTATTGAATTCTCGTCCGTTCCGCAGGCAATCCGGGTGGCAGACGTAAAATCGATTTGCCCGATAACCCGAGAGCGATGATGGACCGCATTGTCAACAGTCCAATTTGTACAGGATCTGGGTATATCATCGCCCAGCCGAATTCCATCGGCTGAAATGATAACGAGAATACGCGCGCGGCGACCCGTCGTGACACGTCGATCGTTCTTGTATGGCAATTAAATGCACGTAGTCGCTTTAAGGGGGGAGACTCCGTGGCCCGTGTGCTGTGTCCGTGCGCTCACACAATCAACGGGAACCGTGTATGTATACGCGATGCACGAGAGAGACATTCGATTTCGTAGAATCCAACTTCTGCCTCGACAATTGCACAAATGCACTTTTCACTGGTATAGAACTCACAGGTAGACCCTTCCCTACAGGGTGGTCTGGTCCGTATAAACACCGATAAACACATTTTAATTGAAAGAATTAGAATTTTAGAAATTGTACGATTGTGACAGGACGCCGATGAAGCACACAAGATGGCTGCTCAAGTCACATTTTGTCAAATATCACACGATTTAGTTGTTTTCTCGTCAAATGCTGACCAGACCACCCTGTACACCACTGTCACACTATCGTAGAAAACCGATTTTTGTTAATTTATCACTTGTGG